CTGACAGATGTCTAAATCCTTTTCTCAAAAAAGTGTTTTGATTTAGTTTGAGTACTGACAGGAATTGGGGGGAAATTTCCACAATTGGGGCACCAGCATGATACCCAGCTGTCAGACTTTACGCATGAGCATCTCTCAACCATGAGATCTGCAAACAAGGCCCTATGTGTGTAAAAAAACTAATCCTGAACAAACTCTCTTGCTGTACAATCCTGAATAACCTTTTGCTCGATCATCGCTCAGGAACAGTCTTACAGTATGTTATCTTAGGGAACAAGGGCAAACTTCTGCCCCACAAAAGTGCAAACAAGAATACTGACTCACAACTGCTGGACAACCTCTCTGTATTCTTACTCCAAAATACTACCCAAGTTATAAAGAAAGCATTTTGCCCTATCTACATTATGTTAATAACTTAATCCCAACCCACTGGAAAACAACAAAGCCCCCAGCCATTGTGGAATAGGAAATAGGGTCAATACTGGCTGGCTCTTAACTCTGGTTCTTTGCTCAAATTACAGTGCCTTGAAAAAGTATTCATACCCCTTGAAATTTTCCACATTTGTCATGTTACAACCAAAAACATAAATGTATTTTAATGGGATTTTATGTGATAGACCAACACAAAGTGGCACATAATTGTGAGGTGGAAGGAAAATGATAAATGTTTTTCAACACTTTTTACAAATAAATATCTGAAAAGTGTGTGGCGTGCATTTGTATTCAGCCCTCTTTACTCTGATACCCCTAACTAAAATCTAGTGGAACCAATTACCTTCAGAAGTCACCTAATTAGTAAATAGAGTCCACCTGTGTGGAATTTAATCTCAGTATAAATACAGCTGTTCTGTGAAGACCTCGGAGGTTTGTCAGAGAACATTAGTGAACAAACAGTATCATGAAGGCCAAGGAACAAACCAGACATGTCAGGGATAAAGTTGTGGATAGATTTAAAGCAGCATTATGTTATAGAAAAATGTCCCAAGCTTTGAACATCTCACAAAGAACTGTTCACTCTATCATCCAAAAATGGAAAGAGTATGGCACAACTGCAAACCTACCAAGACATGGCCATCCACCTAAACTGTCAGTCTAGGCAAGGAAAGCACTAATCAGACAAGCAGCCAAGAGGCCCATGGTAACTCTGGAAGAACTGCAGAGATCAACAGCTCAGGTGGGAGAATCTGTCCACAGGACAAATATTAGTCGTGCACTCCACAAATCTGGCCTATATGGAAGAGTGGCAAGAAGAAAGCCATTGTTGAAAGAAAGCCACAAGAAGTCAAGTTTGCAGTTTGCGAGAAGCCATGTGGGGGACACAGCAAACATGCGGAAGAAGGTGCTCTAGTCAGATGAGACCAAAATTGAACTTTTTGGCCTAAAAGCATAACACTATGTGTGGTGGAAAACTAACACGGCACATCACTGTGAACACACCATCCCCACCTTGAAACATAGTGGTGGCAGCATCATGTTGTGGGGATGCTTTCATTCAGCAAGGCCAGGGAAGCTGGTCAGAGTTGATGGGAAGATAGATGGAGCCAAATACAGGGCAATCTTAGAAGAAAGCCTGTTGAAGTATGCAAAATACTTGAGACTGGGGTGGAGGTTCACCTTCCAACAGGACAACGACCCTAAATATACAGCCAGAGCTACAATGGAATGGTTTAGATCAAAGCGTATTCATGTGTTAGAATGGCCCAGTCAAAATCCAGACCTAAATTCAATTGAGAATAACTATAACAAGTTTATAAAAATATGGGCCTCCTGGCTGTATGTAACTAACAATACTGAGCCCCAACCCCAGGTAACTCAGAAAATGGGAACCTAATAACTCTGCATTACGACCCCTAACAAAAGGTCTTTTGTTTTATTGATACTCTCATTTTATCAGATTTACAAATGTATTGCATTGATGAGCCTAGAGTTTGGTTGTTTTTTTTCTCATTTTCTCTGCATCTTGTTGGGTGTAGATGTAGCCGTTCCCAGATGTTTTTTTCCTAGGGTCAGAATATGAGATTGCATATGATGCCATTGAATAATCTGTTTATATGATGCATCTCAACAGTGTTCAACTGGATGATTTTTACTAGTGATATCTGAACCTGCACCATTTCTTTCACCCCTCTTTTTCTAAGTTACCTAACCATTTTCCTTTTTTCCCTCCCAAATATGCAGGTATTAAATTGTGAACCAAGAGACACTGATGCTTTTTTTTTCACATTTATTGAAAACATTTCCAAAATAACTTGATAAAGACTTTAATGCTTTCCTGCTCTCTCTAAAACCAAATAAAAGGTTTGTCTGGAGTTGGGCTTTACATTTTACAGAGGCTTGGAGGTTTAAGATAGTCTTGTTACAAATGATTACTTTTTTCAGGTACAAATCCTGATGGTAACAAATTAAATGTTACATCTATTTATCTGCATGCAGGCAAGTTTAAGTCCCTTTATTTTTCTGGGGATGGAACACAGTCCTTCCTCAGACATGATCAGTCACAGCTTAACGTATACTGTATGTATTGGCAAAACCTTTTTTTTTATTTTTGGATATCCCTCCAAAGTTTTTATCACTGTCTGTTTCCCCACTAAGGAGATACACCCCACTATTTGTCCTGCTGACCCCTGTCATCAAGACTAAAAGTGAGGGACAATCCAAACTTTTAGAATTGTCACCAAAGCAAGAAATGAGGGTAACAGCTGTCTAAGCTGGGAATTCCTATTACTTTCACTTCCTGTTGCATCCCTGAGACAGGAAAGAAATGAAAATCTTTCCAGGTGGATATAGAAAAAAATTTTAAACCATCTCTACACTATTCAAAACTCTATCAAAAAAGAGGTTCTACTAATGCAAAAATTTAATAGTTCAGTAATCCATATTAGATTGGTAACACAACAATCTGCTTGTAAACCAACACCAACAAGACTGTAAATCACACCATAGGAATGCAATTGATATTTCATCGTGATCATTTTTACATTGCTTTGCTTACCACCAAGCACTTCAGGAACTTAAGACTATTAAAGAAGTGACAGAAGAAAATGCAAACCATCAAATTGAATAGATACACATCTTCTCCTTACACCTTTATACAGTATTAATGTAGGGCTGCATTGTAATACATATTTTGTACCTTTCTTGGTATGTTTCAATTATATTTCACCCAATCAGCACACCAGAGAGAGACCACTGGAGTGAAGGCAGAGGAAGAGGACAAAACCTTGGAAGTTAACAATCTAGGTAATGATTACACAACAAACATTTCTCCATTCCTCCCCTAAAGAGCAGATTCTGATCCTGCCACTCTTATGACACTAGAGGCTAGTCTTTGGTTGGTCTTTGTTTTTGGAGGCTAGTCTTATAGCACTAGGAGGCTAGGCACTAGGAGGATAGTCCAGTGTTTCCAGCACTGGAGAAGTGACTGTATCTAAAGACAAATGTGTTTATATTTATTTACTTAATTATGTTTTGGAGCATGGAATACTTAAAACATCTATGAAGTTAATTTGTTTCCTGTGCCTCATTGGAGACATTCACCCCCTTTATGTGTCCCATTGATTCCCACCAAAACATTAAGTGACGAAAACTTTAATATTTTAAAGTTGTCATTGAAACAGGAAAATAGGGAAATCTTTCAGTTTTGGACACCAGTTCCTAATGAAAACTGTCTAAGGCTTCATTCACACCATACATACAGAAAAAGTGATGGAAACTGATGTGCAGATTTCACTTGCAGGGACTTCAGTTTTCATTCGCGCAATGAATTTTATACATGTTTCAGATTCCTGCGCAGAAAAAAATCTGCAGGTGATACTAGTGTTGTGGTGTGAACAGGACACATAGAGAACAATTGATTTTGTTGTGCCAATGCAGAATGCATGCAGAAAATCTGTTGCTTCTGCACCATGGTGTGAATAAGCCCTAAAGGGGGATTTCCTTGTACTTGTAGAGACTTCCTCTCATTTTCTGTTGTGCTCTAGTAAAGGAAATGCAAGGAAATCTGGTGTGCTAAGCATTTTCTAACCTATACAAAAATAAAAAGAAAATTAATTCTTGGTTTAGATACACTTTAAGCTTACCTTAGGAAATTAGTGATAAGGATGGGATTACAGTTAAACCGGAGCACAAGTCAAAATGTAAAAAAATAAAAGTCAGCAGCTACAAAAACTGTAGCTGCTGACTTTTAAAGACCAAACACTCACCTGTCCTTTGATCCAGTGGTGTGCTCACCAGCCGTCCTCTCTCCCCGGCATCTTAAGTGTGGGCACCCGGCTGTGACAGCTTGCGGCTTCACAGCCAGGTGCACACTGCGCATGCACGAGTAGCGATGCGCCTAGTGAATGGTCCTATAGTCTTCTGGAATCTGTCACATGTCCTAGAAGTCACGGGGTGGGATGCGGGGAGGACAAATTCCTAGGCGGTCGCAGCTGAAGTTGGAGCAGATATCTGTCAAAATCAGGCACCCGATCACCAAAGGTGCCAATACTTAACGAGGATCAGGGGATGAGGCCTTAAAGCAGAACTTCCCCTTTAGGGTGCAGCTCCGCTTTAAGGTTAGTTTCAGGGATACATTTTGCTGAAAACTAACAGCACTGTCCTCTACCCACCGTTTCTTCTTCCCTCCATCCAACAAGCCATTCTATTCCATGCCTGCCATATCTATCTATCTATCTATCTATCTATCTATCTATACATCTCTTCTTCCATCTACAACTACTCCCCTTCCTCTTTTCACAAAATTGACATACAAAATAGACTTCTCTTGGAAAAACCGTTTTTTTTTTTAAATTAAATATACAATTGTTACTGAAAAAATGAATTATTCTTCTCTAAAATCCAATGAGGAATGAGGAGAATCAGGATGTGGATAAAATCTTCTGCCCCATACAAGGGGAGCCTTGTTGATAAATAAGAAAAATGATTTACTGTATTTTTAACTCCATAAGATGCACCTGACACCTAGGTTTTAGAGGAGGAAGACAAGAAAAAAAATATTCTGAACCAAGACTTCAGACATAGTACAGGAGATGACCAGAGACTGCGGACATAGTACAGGAGATGACCAGAGACTGCAGACATAGTACAGGAGGTGACCAGAGACTGCAGACATAGTACAGGAGATGACCAGAGACTGCAGACATACTACAGGAGATGACCAGAGACTGCAGACACAGTACAGGAGATGACCAGAGACTGTGGACACAGTACAGGAGTTGACCAGAGACTGCAGACACAGTACAGGAGATGACCAGAGACTGCGGACATAGTACAGGAGATGAACAGAGACTGCGGACATAGTACAGGAGATGACCAGAGACTGCAGACACAGTACAGGAGATGACCAGAGACTGTGGACACAGTACAGGAGTTGACCAGAGACTGCAGACACAGTACAGGAGATGACCAGAGACTGCGGACATAGTACAGGAGATGAACAGAGACTGCGGACATAGTACAGGAGATGACCAGAGACTGCAGACATAGTACAGGAGATGGCCAGAGACTGCGGACATACTACAGGAGATGATCAAAGACTGCACACATAGTACAGGAGATGATCAGAGACTGCAGACATATTAACAGGGGATGAACAGAGCTCTTTCAGCAATCCACAGATATACAGTTTGTGAAAAAGCTCAGGGTTTGGTATATAACAGTCCACAGGCAGTCTATGGGGGAAAGGTCATACCTGGCTAGCCATGCTCAGCATCCTCTCTGAGGTCCGGGGGCAGGGGCTCCCACTCACATTACAACTTCCACTACAGCAGCTCCTTCTCGAGCATACAGGCTGCATGGGGTGGGGTCAATGGAGCTTACGGACCTGGTCCTGCCCCCTCCCTGCTGGCTGGCCCGGTATTTTAACACAGCAATGGGGGAAGGGGGAAGGCCTGGTCAATATTCGCTCCATAAGATGCACAGACATTTCCTCCCATTTTTTGGGGGGGAAAAAGTGCATCTTATGGAGCAAAAAATACGGTAATATTTTTCACATTAAACGCCTGGGAAATACAACGAGGCCTTTTCCTTACTGCAGCCCTAACATGTAGTGCAAAGCCCTGTAATAAAAAAAAAAACAGCTGGCCCTTGTTCTTACAGTGTTCCTTATTGTAAACCTCCAAACTGAACCTCCGGACATGATCAGGGGTTTTATACAGTATCAAAATAATTTGTTTCAAGAGTATGACTTGCATTCGGGGCAAAGTAACTTTTATTTTCCAATCCAACATCCATAACATACTTGTTCTAAAGAAATGCATGAGGAACCAGCAGATGATAAAATAATCCTCATTGTCCAGTCTGCCAGCAAACATGGGCCCGGGACTGGAGTACCATCCAAAAGATCTGCTGAAGCTAAAACTCTATCTTAATTCAAATATGATGAACACTCTCTTCTGCCTTATCTTCCACAGCAGGAACCTCTAGTGGGACTGAAAAAAGTAATTCTTTGTGCAGTATTGCAACAACTGGAAAAGGAAAAGGAATTCAGCACAGCTGCCCCACAGTTTCACAGTATTCTATAAAACACTATAAAAAAGAACAAAATGACTTTGCTGCATGTATATTTTCTCAAACATTGTATAACTTCACAGTATCTTAAAGTTAAAAAGCTAGACAATAGAGATTATTATAATACAGACTCGTTGGCTTCACCCTAACCTTTGAGTAAAAAAAACGGGGAAAAATGCGATGAGGGTAATTAGGTTAGGTCTTCTCTTTGTATAAACCTATTTTGGGGTCCAGTTCTGCAAGTTGTGAATCAATAGAGCAACATTAGCAATGCCCTTTTACTTACATTGCTCAAATGCAGGCACAGGATCCTTTAATTCCTTGTCCATCAAGTCTCTAGATACCCACAAACCTCTAGGCTCCCAAAAGCTCCTGGAAAAACCCAAGGGGTGTAAGTTGCTTTCTCTCCCACCATTATGTGTCAGAAAGATTGCACTCAATGAGACTGTTATGGCATGATGTCCCTGACAAGGCGTGCGATTTGTCACCCGAGGAAACACCCTCCACTGTTAATCCTGGCATTTGGGCAGTTGTGTTAGAGTGCAATAGTACACAGCTTCCTAAGATGATCTACACACTGCATACAGCCTGTACCAGAGTGCTGAGCCTGAAGTGGGGTGGTCCTATGCCAACAGCCTCTGTGTTTAGATCAGAGACTTCTTTTGCCACTTGCCTGAGGAACTAACTCTGGGATTCTACCAACTGCTCACCTGGATGGCCAGACCCAGTCTACCTTACTGTGAAGAGTTGCTGTCATAAGTAAAGTACAAGTAGTCATGTGTACTTAGAATCTTATAAAGTTCTGTACAGGGCCCTTGAGGCTTTGTAGAATTTTGGGTGGGATAAAACCTCCATTATTACATCTACATTTTACTTGGTAGCTGAACCTCATTATTAGTCTCAGCTGTCTAAAGGTCTTTATATATGTGAATTGAATGATGCTTAGGACTATCTCTCTTTGCTGTGGGATCTTGCTGCTGGGTGAAAATGCTGAGTGCCAACAGAACATACAGGTACATTGCTGCCTTCTTGATTTTTCTGCAACACATTAAGGGGAACTGTTTTATTCAGGAACTGAGCAGAGCATGTTTTGATTTTTTAACTATGGACCTCCTATACAAAGTCCTCCTGCATTCAAACTGTGTTTGTTTCTCTTGTGTACTTGGACTGTTCCTGGGTGTCACTGCCTCAAGCACGGTTTGTCGCTGCCACTACCAGTTGACTCTATCCATCTTACAATATATATATATATATATATATATATATACAGGAGCAGGGGCGGACTGACAACTCATTGGGCCCCTGGGCAATAGGGGATCATGGCGCCCTGGTGTCCTCGCCCACACTCAAACTACACCATAAAAAGCCTATGAAAGGTATCATTGGCATCTCATGGGGCCCCCTACTGACCCCGGGCCCTCGGGCAGTGCCCGAATGGTCAGTCCGCTCCTGTACAGGATGGATGGATGGATAGGATAGATAGATAGATAGATAGATAGATAGATGGATAGATGGAGATAGATAGATAGATAGATAGATAGATAGATAGATAGATAGATAGATATTATACACATACAGATATTTATAGTCTGTTTATTTATAGCTATAGGCTTCATGTACATGGGTACCTGGGGCTGCACATTGTAAAATTTGGGTGTATTTCCCCAGCTGGGAGCAAAGACACCCATAGAAATGAATAGCTCTGCGTGGGTATACGTTGCTACTTATGTAAACACGTGCATGCACACATGTTAAGACCTGCATACAGTGGTGAACAACCACTGATTTCTACTTGCAGCACCCGTGACTCCCAGCTGTTGAAATACAACCAAATTGTACATTGTACTGCCCCAGACTTCCGGAGTATCAGGCCTTATACTTAAATACTTGGATCACCAATTTTGGTTGTGCTCTGCTCTGTTTTATTGTAGCATTACTGATTTAAAACAAATATATTTTTTGTTACATTTCACAACAAAGTAAAAATGTTATTGCTCTAAACGTAGCATTTCTGCTGTATTTGTCTGATTCAATAAACTATAACTTTGTAAATTCCTACCAAAAGGAGTAAACAACAACAAGTTCTTTAGCAACAGGTAGAAGAACTAAAAATTCTCATATTTATAACACTGGGGCAGTTCAAATTATTAAAAACACACATTGCTACTCTTTCAAGTAGAAGAGTGTGTTTTCGTATTAAGGAGAAATGGAAAAGAAATGTTTGCAAGAAGAGCAGGATACCTGAATGCAATTTGATGGTGGATGGATGCATGTGTATGCATGTACAGATAGTATTGGGACATTTGGAAGAATTCTGGTAGTAGTAGGTTTATATGGATAACTGATGCATATATATCTATGATTTTGCATGTGTGAAGGTGAATAAAATGAATGGCTGTAGGAAATTAGACAGACCATTGACAATCAATATAGCTGTAGATAGAAACAGAGCATAGTTATAGACAGATATGAAAAGATACCAATGTGTTCATACAGTTCTTGAAAAAGTATTCATACCCCTTGAAATTTTCCACTTTTTGTCATGTTACAATCAAAACCGTAAATGTATTTTATTGGGATTTTATGTGATAGACCAACACAAAGTAGCACATAATTGCGAAGTGGAAGGAAATTGATAAATGGTTTTCAAATTTTGTTACAAATAAATATCTGAAAAGGGTGGCGTGCATTTGTATTCATCCCACTTTGTAGAACCACCTTTCGTTGCAATTAAAGCTGCAAGTCTTTTAGGGTATGTCTCTACCAGCTTTGTACATGCAGAGAGTTAAATTTTTGCCCATTCTTCTTTGCAAAATAGTTCAAGCTCTGTTAGACTGGATAGAGCATCCATGAACAGCAATTTTCAAGTCTTGCCACAGATTCTCAATTGGATTCATTTCTGGACTTTGACTGGGCCATTCTGTCCTGCTGGAAGGTGAACCGCCACCCCAGTCTCATGTCTTTTGCAGACTCTAACAGGTTTTCTTCTAAGATTGCCCTGTATTTGGCTCCATCCATCTTCCCATCAACTATAACAGCTTCCCTGGCCCAGGTAAAGAAAATTATCCCCAGATAATTCTGCTACCGTCATGTTTCAAGGTGGGGATGGTGTGTTCAGGTGATGTGCAGTGTTAGTTTTACCGCCACACATAGTGTTTTGCTTTTAGGCCAAAAAGTTTAATTTTGGTCTCATCTGGCCAGCGCACCTTCTTCCACATGCTTGCTGTGTCCCCCACATGGCTTCTCACAAACTGCAAATGGGATTTCTTATGGCTTTCTTTCAACAATAGCTTTCTTCTTGCCACTCTTCCATAAAGGACAGATTTGTGGAGTGCACGACTAATAGTTGTCCTGTGGACAGATTCTCCCACCTGAGCTGTTGATCTCTGCAGCTCCTCCAGAGTTAGGGGTGGGACTCTTGGCTGCTTCTCTGATTAGTGCTCTCCTTGTCTGCACTGTCAGTTTAGGTGGACAGCCATGTCTTGATAGGTTTGCAGTTATGCCATAATCTTTCCATTTCCGGATGATGGATTGAACAGTGCTCCGTGAGATGTTCAAAGCTTGGGATATTTTTATTTTATAAACCTAACCCTGCTTTAAACTTCTCCACAACTTCCCTGACCTGTCTCGTGTTTTCCTTGGCTTTCATGATGCTGTTTGTTCATTAATATACTCTAACAAACATCTGAGGGCTTCACACAACACCTGTATTTATACTGAGATTAAATTCTACACAGGTGAACTCTATTTACTAATTAGGTGACTTCTGAAGGCAATTGGTTCAACTAGATTTTACTTAAGGGTATCAGAGTAAAGGGGGCTGAATACTAATGTACTCCACACTTTTCAGATATTTATTTGTACAAAATTTTGAAAACCATTTATCATTTTCCTTCCACTTCACAAATATGTGCCACTTTGTGTTGGTCTATCCCATAAAATCCAATTAAAATACATTTGTTTTTGGTTGTAACATGAAAAAATGTGGAAAATTTCAAGGGGTATGAATACTTTTTCAAGGCACTGTAAGTAACAATATATAATTAGAAGCAGATGTGATGCTCTCTTACTCACTTGCCTCTTTCTATTGATTCCTCAGAGGCAACTGGGATATTACCTACTTCTAGTGCAAGGCCACTATCAAAAGTATAGTTCAAACAGACAGTCTT